CCTGCTGAATATCATTCATTTGATGATTAAAATTACAGTCTTTATGACACTGAGCAGGAGCTTCAGGTACACCTGTGGTTTTCTGTGCCAGTTTTGTGTGGTTTCAGTGTTTTTCTGTCTTCTGTTTGAGCCTGTGTTCTCGCTCTTTTGTAAAAAGCCTCTGAGAAGCGAGGGAAAGTTTTTGGTCTTTGTAGGGAATACTATTTGCAAACATGCACTAAAGGAAAATGGCCAAATGTCTCAATTACTTCCACACCCTCCCTCCCCACTTGCCTCCCAGTTATTTAAGGATAATACTTTTATGTGCTGCTTGCAGGTAAGGTGAATCTTTTAAAAAACAGATCCATTAAAATCACATTTCTGCTTAAAGGTGATGATGTGTCTTTAAGCACTTTGATTGAAAGGAGTTCTTCTGGGTAATGCCGAAACTTTCCTTCTGCTGCATGTCAGCGATTTTTATCCCTGGGATTTGAAATTTGGCACTAAGGTATATTCTTTATCGGTGCTTTCTGTGATAACAAGTCCCAGTGCTGCAACACTGGTATGGCGCAGATGTGCAGCTCCCTCTTTAGCATGGAACAGCTGACGTTCATATGATATTAGCATGTGTGTTTTAATTTTCTCCTCAGCAGCGTTTATGGATTGTACATGAACAGGGTGTGTTTAAAATGGTATATTCTCTCCTTGGAAAAAGAGAAGGGCAAGAGGCAAAAGAGAAGATGCTGACAAAAATCACTTGCATTGGAAGAGGCTGCTCTGAGATGTGCTTGGGTGTACTCTTGGTGTCAAAACCTTTTATGCTTATTTTCAAATAGTCCTTGCTTTCTAAAGTAGTTGCTGTGCATGGGTATGCAGAAGGATAAATATGATATCATACAGGACTTCTCTAGGGGATTCAAAACATGGAGGTGATATATCTCATACTGATCTGAGATGCACAGGATGCTTTCAAGTAGTAAGCTTCTATTTTTTAATAGGAAAATTCCCGTTAATGATGGCGATGCACCGAAAAGCAGACTGGAGTTGAGGGAAGAAAATCACCTGAATCACAGTGTGGTAAGAAGTTAATAGCTTCATGGTGTGGCTGAATCTGTGCCTGTTCTCCCCACCCTGCCTCCTAGCCCTGAATGTCCCTGGGTGTTAGTACGTGATCCACTTGGAGAAATTATTAAAACACCTTTCTCTTGCAGCTCTAGCTGGGCTTGGGCACATGGGAGCTGTTTCTGTGGAACAGTGAAATGGGGCCTTATTTGTCTTGTTAATGTCTTGACGCTGACTTTGTGGTGTGTTTTGTTGTATGATGTCATATTCTTACTTCTGCTCTGCTATGAATCATGTCCTGCAGCATACCTGCATGTGTAACGAAAATAGTTCATGTAAACATTAAGTACATCAATGTTTCAACAAAGTTGGTGGTTTTCTCCTTCTTTGTGCATACGCTGGGAGTGGCAAGTGGGGAAGAAGCTCTTACGGCAGACCTTTATTCTTGTGCATCCTCAGACACCTTGCCCCATGAATTGTGTGGTGGTGGCAAGCTGTGGCGGGAGTAGAGGTCCTGGAGGAAGAGAAGAGGCTCTCTATCCTTCTCTTCTGGCTTCCATGCCACAGCTCACATCCTGTTGTGCTGGCAGGGCTGGGGCTGAGGTGCCAGTTGCTGCACAGGAGTGGTGCTACTGAGCATCATTTCTGGGCCACTTCTGGCTGCTTGGGCTGTGGGTCCTCATGCCATTGTTTGTAGCCTGTGAGTTTTGGATGCGAGGAGATTTGTGTTGGTGTTTGTCGTGATACATACTGCTCCATAGCTTCCTGTTCTCCGATTTTCCAGGGTGATCAGCCTGTACATTTTCGTGACGAGCAGTGTGTTTGCGTTGGTAGTGTTTCTCTTCCAAAATGCTGATGTATCTGCTTGAGTGGAATCTTGTTAGTGAAATGTAAAAGTAACATACTTCTTGTTCTGTAAAGGTGGACGCGGCTACAGCACATCGCATTGACAGTCTCGCAGCTCTGAGTATGGACAGGTCTGGACTCATGCGAGAAGGACTCAGAGTCCCCAGTAGCATTGTCTATTCCAGCTTGTGTGGACTCGGCTCGGAAAAATCACGGGATGCTACGAGTGCGATAGCTGGGCTTGGATTTACTCCTGAAAGAAATCCAGAGATACAGTTTAAGTCTAATCCCCCTGAAGCGGTAGAAAGCGCAGCTGTCTCTGGAAAAGCCCCGAACGGCTTCAGTGCTATATACAAAACACCTCCTGGAATACAAAAAACCTCTGCTGTCCCGACAGGGGAGACACTGGGTTTGGACCGAGCTGCGGGTGACAGGCAGAGTCCCCTTGGTGTCAATGGTGCTAGTTACCTAAGGCTCCCCTGGGTAAACCCCTACATGGAGGGCGCGACGCCCACCATATACCCTTTCCTTGACTCACCAAATAAGTATTCGTTGAACATGTACAAGGCATTGCTACCTCAGCAGTCCACCTACAGCTTACCACAGCACCTGGCTTACTCACCCGTGTGCACGAACGGTGAGCGTTTTTTATACCTGCCTCCCTCCCACTACGTTGCCCCCCACATCCCTTCGTCGTTGGCGTCGCCCATGAGGCTCTCGACTGCTTCGGCTTCACCGGCGATCCCACCGTTGGTGCACTGTCCGGATAAGAGCTTGTCGTGGAAGATGGGTGTCAGCCCCAGCAACCCCGTCGACACACACGCCTACCCCCACATCCAGAGCAGCAAGCAGCCCCTCAAGCCGGCCCCCACCAACATCCCGGCAGATCCTGCGCTCCTGCTGCCGCACTCGCCCCGGCCATCCCCACGCCTCCCCCTGCCCGCCCAGGTCGGGGATGCCTACGCCGATTTCCACAAACACTTCCCCAGGATCACCACCTCTCCCTCCTCCGCTGTTACCCTCCCAAAGCCCTACGTGAATGTCGGAGGCGAACTTCCCCCCCCCCGCCTCTCCACTGGGAGGCTTCCCCAAGGCCGCGGTGCTGGGGGGGGAC